GCAGGAAGGATAGAATACTCCTCACACATTCAGTAATTATATTATTATTATATTATTATTATTCAGATGTGTCCAAACCATGGTCCATGGGCTGTGCATGACTATGTTACCTAGGAACATGGCTCGTACAAAATCATGAACTTAAAACATGGAGGGTTTTTTCTTTTTTTGGGTGACTTTTTGTTGATAAGTCAATTATATTTTTTAAAAATGTATTTGCATAGGTATACTCTTGTTCCAGGATATATGGATGGTATAGTTCACTCCTTCCACGCCATAGATTCCAGGGACTAAAGTTGTTAGACTTGGCAGCAAGCTCCTGTACCCACTGAGCCAGCTTGGCTGCCTGTCATTAGATGGTTGTAAAGTGTGACCTTGTTAACAAGGACCTCAGTGCTACATAGGTTGGACATGCCTGTGTGCCCTTTAACCCTCTGGCCTCAACAATAGGTGGCAGACTTTCTGATTTTTTCCTCTTCAGCTTTCTCAACAGTATGGTGCAACTCGGTGACTTTCAAACTGAACATGACTCGAAGACAGAAATATATTTACGTGTGTAAAACTCACATTCTGACTCCATGGTTGCCCTTACTGGGAACTGTGCAGTCCATTTTGAATTGTTTTTTATTTTTTAAGCTGGTGTCAGGCAAACTCCTTTGAATTCGTGGGAACCGCTGCCACAGGATGTCTCAGAATGGTGCTATGTGACATGCACTGAGGTGACTTTCATTCTCAGGCATCTAGGGAAACGGAAGTGTAGCATCTTGCCTTGCTCTGGGGTACTCCTGAAGCCTACCCTGAGGCATCTCTACAGAGGAAATCCAGTTTGGAGAGTTTCTCTGCCACTTGGCGACTTTTGTAGGAAACAGATCCTGGGGTGGAAATGGTTCATCATGTTGATTGTGTTTGCTGGGAGAGGCACGCAGGCCAGCTGTGGTTCCATTGCCCATGGCCCAGAGATAGGTTCTATGTATAACTTTTTTAGTTGTGTTTTTTTTCCTTATTATGAACATTGTATAGAAGCATTTTATAACAGTGAAATTTGAGCTTATCTTCTTCTTCTTCTTCTTCTTCTTCTTCTTCTTCTTCTTCTTCTTCTTCTTTTTTTTTTTTTTTGAGACATGGTTTCTATATATAGTCCTGGCTCTCCTAGAACTCACATGTAGACCAGGTTGGCCTCGATCTACCTCTACCTCCAGAGTGCTGGCATTAAAGGTGTGTGCCACCACGTCCTGCTGTCTCAAGTCATTTTTAAACATATGTATATACATATATATGTATATATATATATATGTGTGTGTGTGTGTGTGTGTGTGTGTGTGTTGTGCTTGTTTATGGCTGTGTACCTCATGTGTGCCTGGGGTCCATAGAGGTTGGAAGAGGGAGTCAGATTCCCTTGGAACTGGGGTTAGAAGCAGTTGTAAGCCATCCTGTGGGCGCCGGGAATTGAACCCTGGTCCTCTGGAAGAACAGCCCAGTGCTCTTAACCACTGAGCTATCTGTACAGCTTCTGTCTCAACTCTTAATTCCACAGTGATATACTGGGATTGGGACTGATTATGGTTTTATTCATGGTATCTAGATGGGCAGTTGAGGCTGTTAGTGGTTAAGTCATTGGTCCTGGTAGCCCTGATGGTAGGCTAATGACCACCTGTATCCCGGGAGATGGAGGGGTGGCTTAGCAGTTGAGAGCAAGTATTGCTCTTGCAAAAGACCTGAATGTGGCTCCCAGCAGCCATGCTGGGTGCCTCCCAGCTGCCTCTAGCTTCAGCTTTAGGGGTTCAGACACCTTCTTCTGTGCTCCATGGTCAATTGCACTCACTGTACACAGATCCCACCCCACCCCATACATAATTGAAAATATGTATGATTTACATATATATGTATGATTTAATATTTAAAAGAAGCAAATATGACATCACCTGTGTCCCAGCATCTGGGAAGGTGCCTGCAGGAAGAAGGAATTGCAGGGGGTGTCTGAGCTCCTGCTGAGTGCAGACAGCTCTTTCAGCATGCTGTCTTAGCAAGCCCTAGATACAGGGACTGTGTAGGCAGCATTAGAGAGTCTTGATGTCTTCTGTGGGAAGACCCCAGGGTGCTCTGCAAGGTTGGTTTGCCCTTCATTTGAAATGTGACCTAGGACAAATATTTGCACTTCCATTTCCCTTTTTTGTCATCATTACAGGTCAGTCACTCCCCTCCCCCCCGCCCCCCCCCCTTCCCTCCCG